ACACTAAAGTTAGAGCTACAAAACATATTACTATTAAAAATTTTCATCTGTCTTGTCCAGGAAGAATCGGACACATAGAAATAATATTTATCATCGCAAAAGATACAATTTCAATCAATTTATGTATATTCTTTGGTAACACAAACTGAAATATCACAACAGAAAAGTTACTTTAGTCAACCAACCAATGTACATGTTTCCAGTACCATTTTACAAAGTCTTAGTAAGACCACATTTGGAATACTACATCTAGTTCTGGTTACCACAATATAAAAAAGGTGTTGAGACTTTGGACAGATTGCAGAGAAGAACAACAAGAATGATTGTGGGACTGGAGGCTAAAATATACAAGGAACAGTTACAGGAATTATGTCTTAGTTTAATGAGAAGGACAAGGCCTAGCGGATACATAATAGCAGTGTTCCAATATTTGAGGGGTTCAAACTATTTTCCAAAGCACCAAAAGCAAGACAAGAAATAATGGATGGAAACTAACCAAGGAGAGATGCATCCTAGAACTAAGGAGAAAATTCCTAATAGTTAGAACAATCAACTTGATGGAATAGCTTGCCTTCAGAAATCATGGGTGCTCCATCACTGGAGGCTTTCAAAAAGAGAGCAGTCAACTATTTGCCTGAAATAGTATAGGGCCATGATGGCAAACGCGTGCCACAGGGGGCATGCAGAGCCATTTGTGCCAGCACGCGAGCTGCAGGTAAACTTACCTCATTGCGCATATGCACACCTCACAGCTGATTTTTGGCCAGTTTGAAGCCTTTTTCTGCCTCCCAAAGGCTTCAGGAAGGCTTCTGCAGGTTTCTGCAGGCTTTTCAGGCCGAAAACTAGGCTCGTTTCATCACTTCCTGTTTTTCTGGAAATACCGAAAGTGATGAAATGGGCCTAGTTTTCATCCTGAAAAGCCTTGCAGAAGCCTTCCTGAAGCCTCTGGGGGGCCAAAAAAGGTCTTAAACTGGCTGAAAATCAGCTGCGAGGCCCAGTGCAGGTAAGGGGGCAGTGGTGGGTGGGTGGGGATTGCATGCACATGCATAGGGGGCATGGGAGGGGCACGCATTGCCTTCTGGGTGCTGGCACACGAGCAGAAGTGTGCAAGCACGCACAGAATTTTTGTCACAGGAGCCCAAAAAGGTTAGCCACCACTGGTATAGGGTCTCCTCTTGAACAGGGGATTGGACAAGACCTCCAAGGTCCCTTCCAACTCTTCTATTCTATGTTTTATGTTCAGTATGATATCCAACTATGTGGATACTAAGAAACCAAATTAGCAAAAAACTTTTTAAATTTATAATATCAACTTTCAGACAGTACTACACTGTACCTCATCACTATCCTGAAAAATCAGGGTGCAATGATGCTCCAAAAGAGCTTGGCTGGATGTTCAAACTCATTATTGGTAGAAAGGGCACACTACACTGCTGTCCTAATACCCTAGAAGAGCTGTAACGTTTTACTCTGAAGGATGAGTTCCAATTGTATACGGAAGAAATCGTATTTGTCTATCATTTTCTTGTACAGCTCATAAACGATTTTGTGGGAATCAATATGGTATATACAGTTCTCCCTACAACAAAAAGCTTGCTTTGTGCTACTATGCACTTATGTAAGTCGTACAAAACTTCAAAATGTCTACTTTTGGGTCAACATGGATAGGGTTGCACTGCTAAACAGTGTTAATTTGTTTCTTAGAAGCCATTTTCTTTGGCTCAATGGGGAAGATGATGTCCTGAGATTGTTTGGATTCTATCCTCTTGTGGTATTGCATATAGAGAGGAGAAATCTGTCCTAGTCTGAAACCATATTATATAAATAGGAAAAGTTACTTTTATTGGCACTTTATTTATGTATCATTAGGAGGGAAAAAATATACAGTTTTTGATATTTAAGAGTCTACATGAAGCATTTATCATGACCTATTTTGTCTTAATGAATCTATTTTTGTTGTTCTATGCAAATAGCTTTTCAGTCTTAATTATGACTCCTGGGGTTTCAGAATAATGGGTGAAATCAGGATCTCTAAAGAAGCAGCTTTCATACATGGATTTTGTAAAAAGTGTTGAAAATAATTCCTTTGGGATAAGTTATAAAAAGCACATCTGTAATTGGATTCTTAGCTGCAAATTTTAAAGTCAGATTCTACACTATGTGGTGGCAGTTCTACAGTGATGTTATGATTTGGATTTCAAACTTTCAATTGATTTTTATGCTTGTTTATTTACATAATCACAATAATTACACTGCAGGTGGGGCTAACATGCCAAACAATTTAATAAAGAACTTCCAAGTTTTGGATTGGACAGTTAACATTCTCAGTGCTGGCAATACAATAAAGATAGCCCTCGACTCTTGACCATAACGGGGCCCAAAATTTCTGTTGCTAAGCAAGACAGTTGTTAAATGAGTTTTGCCCCACATTGTGACATTTCTTGTGATAATTGTTAAGTGGATCACTGCAGTTGGTAACTTAGCAAGGTTTTATGAGTTTAATCTTCTTGAACTGAAGCAAGTATCTCCACACATATACGTGAATAGAATATCGTTTTTTAAAACACATTTATTCCTTACCAGGAAAAGGTCTGGGGAGAAATTGAGCATGTGTGTGTGCACATGTGTATATATGTATATCTGTATGTGTGTGTATATGTATATGTGTGTGTGTATACACACACACACACACATATATATAATTTTCTTAAGTTTTCGCGGGTACTTACATGTATGTTATTCAGCTTTGTTAGGGTATTTTCCCATGTCATTATAGCTGTGCTTTTAAAATTGTAGCAACATTTCAGCAGACTCTCATCTGCCATCATCAGGCTTCTGTATTGTGTTCGTCTGTGAGTCAGACTTTTACAGTTGTTTCAGTTTTAAATTTGGGGCTAACCTACTGCTGTGCCAGAATGGTTTTTTCTTCATCCTGATTGGTTGGGAATATTGGTCTGTGTTTATTGGTCTTGTAGTTTGCTGTGTTCTGCTTGACTGGTGTTTCTAATATCTTCTGTTTTGTGGCTTTTTTTGTGTCTTGATTGGCTGGCAACATTGTGTTCCTGTATTGGAGGCTTTTAGTGCAGCTTGGCTCTGAGTAAATGGATGGCTATCATTTCTTAGGAAGCTAGGTTTCATCTGGGTGCCTGGTTGGGGTGTGTTTCAGTTGGAGGTATCAGGGGGGATCTGTTTGTGCCCAGGTGTTTGCCTGGCTTGTGGTGTGGAGATTTTTTTGTTTGCGAGTGCAGGCTTCCAAATGATTGACAGTCTGGTGGAATCATCTCTTCTATTCATGCTTTCAGGTCTTTTTTCAACCTCTATGGCTTCTCTGATAATTCTGTGGCTGGGGTTTTCTATAGTGGCTAGGGTTTTGGTGCCACTGAAGTTGATGCTATGTTGATGCTATACATACATACATATATAGAGATAGAGATAGCGAGAGATAGAGAGGGGAGGGATGGAGGGAGGGGGGGTCTTTTTATATAGATAAGACTTTTATAATTTACATCAAACTTCTGAAACAGAAACATTTCTACTAGTGTTCAGCACAATGAATAAAAGAGACATTGGATTCATGCGTTATTTATTAATAACTGATAAATACAAGGAAAATAGCAACAACTTGTCAAAATTATATCTTGAAAAGATGTTTTTAAAAAGCTTATTCACATTCATTTTATATAATCAACAAACCAGTGTCTGAAAAACAAAATAAAAAGGACTAAAAATCCAATTCTATTGCATTTTCACTATTCTTACTTGTAAACCGGTAATATTACTAGACAAAATCACACCTCTGTACAGGTTCATGTGCTATGGATGTCTCACTGATGATCTTTATGCATCACTGCAAAAGTAATTTATTAATAAAAGTAATCTGTCTTCATCCTAAAACTCTTTCCCTAATGTATTGTACTGTTCCTCTTGCTGCATCAGCAATATGTACAATAGAATCTCAGCTGGAACATCCCTTGTGAAGACACCCAAATTTTCCTCTATACTAAAATATTCTGCTTTTTCAGATTACAGCCCTTAGAAGTTAGATAATTACTAGCATTTGAATACACCACACTGATAGTATATCAAACATTAGTGAAAAATAGGACATTTCCAATTTTGCTATAGATAGTAACTTAGCTTTCATTTACAATCTCTCTAAAGCCCAATGGAAAAAAAAGTACAAGAATTTCACTTTCATGTTATAATTTTTTTAAAACTTTTGACTTGCAAGCTTCTGTTAAACAGTCCCATAACCATCAGAGTCAATTTGATGGTAACCAAAGTTATCCTATATTAAGGGATTCTTAAGGCAACTCTTATGGGCCTCATCAAAACAGCATCTGCCTACAGAGTGGCTTTTCAGAAGGTACTGATGTCTAAATGTGGCCAAACTATTGCCACCTAGAGTTCAACTGATTTCTTGGAAGCTTAAAATGGAGTCATAATTATTTGTAACCAAGTTGATACTTGCTAAATGTCCAAGCTGGTTGCTTTTAAGTCTAGTCTAACATCTTGCTTAATAAGCATGCTTTTTTTTTCTGAACCTGTTTGCATTGTATTAGAGTTGATTATGTTCCTTAAGATCCACTGGCCCTTGCAATTTTGGCTAAAGCAGACAAATGCCCATATTTTAGATTCTGTATGACAATGATTCAGTTCTCAAAGAGATAGTGAGCTCACATCTGCAACATTTGAGATGATGTGTGTAGACCTGTATGGCAGAACACTCCATTTCTTCACTGAAATTAATATTCCCAGAAGAGGCAATTCTGCCCTAAATTACTACTTTCCTAAATATAAGGAACAGTCTGCACAAAGAAGTATTCTATCACAGGAGCTTGTGTTTGCAGTCTATGCTGTTGTTGAAATCCACGGATGCCTCAATCTACCTGATTCCTTCCAAAAGCGTTGGAAATAGAGTTAGTAAAATTCCCTAGGCAATATTCTAGAACTCCCCAAGACACAAAGAAGACTTTAAGTTGGGGAAATGGCCAGTTTCAACACCTTCAGAATTAGGACCTAAAAATGGCTCAATAAGTCAGCGGAGACTCCGATGTTAATTATAAATATGTTTTCAAAAGCTCTTTGAAGTTCACGGAGAGCTTATATGGACTTCTAAAATGGCTGACTGAGGTGTTAGATGATGGGTGGACAACGAGCAACCTGTAGGGTGATCAGGACTCAAATGATCTCTGCGATAAAAGTATCAGCAGTTGCACTGCAGACTTGTGATGCCAAGAACGGTGCTTAGATGAGCTTAGCAGTCGTACCAGACTTTGACAGTCTTCTTTGGTAGTCTTATATTTACAATCCCAGTTTCACAAACCAAAGAAAGATGCTCAAGTAAGTATCAGTACAAACAAAATAGTAACTCTGTGTGTATGTGTGTGTGTGTGTGTGTGTAAATTTCATTTTACTGACTGAATGTAATAGGTAGCTGGATGCAATTCAGTGATTTAGGACAAGCTAGGCAGATACATAGAAATGCTCCAATTTCCTCTGAAGCCTAAAACATGACATTTTCAACATGTATTGAGTAAAGAAAGGCAATGGGGTTTAAGGGAAGCACCCGATTGCTGATGGGTTGTTTTGGGGTGTCTGAGTGAAGGGGGAAAATCAACAGAATGGAATATTTTGAACAGAGAATACATGTATTGCACAGTAAAATTAAGTTACTCCTCCCATGCCACCTCCCCGACCCCACAATTTTTTCTGAATGATTTTATGAGCAAGGCTAAGCTACCTTCTAATAATTATAGAACCTATTTGACAATTCCCTATGTATATTCATTGGAGATGTGTTTTTTCATTCCCACAAGATGGCTCCCTTGCAGTCTGGGAGGGAGACAGTTAATAGTATGTATCTTTTTAATTTTATATTGCAACGTGCATGCATATACACATTTTTTTAAAAATAAAATGGTCCCAAGGATTAATAAAAAAAAGTTTCAGAACAAAAGATGAAGTTGGGGTTTGTTTGTTGTTGTTTTTTTTTAAAAAAAACAACAAGATTTCATTGCAATGTTCTGTTGCTATTTGATGGTTTTTAGTTTCTCACCTCTTCAATGGAATAAATTATAAAACTCACTTAAAAGCCGAAAGGATATTCAGCATACTTTAAGGAAGGTGAAATACTAGGAAATAGATTACATAGCTTAATAAGAAAGGATATTTTGTTTTTACACAAAGGATCCCAGGATATGCCTACTGTACCCCACATTCCCCCCCCCCCAAAAAAAAATATTGGCAGAAGAATCTATATGTGTGTTCTGTGCTGATCTGGCAAGGAGGATCGATATAGGCTGTTCTGCAAGTATGACAATTAGAATTGGAAAGAAAGAAAGAAAAAACCTAACACAAAAGTGAAAGACTATTATTTGCTTGATATTTTTTTCCCTTTAAACAAGATAACATTCTTCCCTCCCAGTTGCTCTTCTCTGAGTGGCCTCAGGCTAACAAGCGCTGATAGTTTTCTGTTATGGAGTCACCCTCACTTATCAGACAGTTCAGCTTGATAAATCATCATACCGCTTAACAGTGGATGAATCCTCAATGTTCTTGGTTGGTGCAAGGTGGAACCCCAGGCTGAGCAATCTGGGCTGCTGATGAGAGCAACGGCATCTTTTCTACAGACTGTTCTTTGAAAAAAGATGCAACTGACTGCCGTCGAATGGCAGAAAACCCGCCGGTGAAGAGGCCATTTTTACAAAGAAGAATCCACTAATGCCCAGCATAGCAGCTGCTTTAGGAAATGAGGGGAAGGTAGTTTCTCCCGCCTGTATTTGCTAAATTCAATAAAATGTCTGCAGGTGGGTCAGCTGAAAAGGTGCTAGATATAAAACTGATGGGAAGCTAATTCGTCCATAAAAGGCTGCACCAAGTTATCTGTGGCAAAATAGAAAACTAGCCCAAATGTGATAGAAATTGGAAGAGCTGGTAAGGCCTTCTTAAAAATGGCAAGCAGCAAGAGGGTAAGGCACAGGCCCTGGGGATAAAAAAAAGAGAGAGAAAAAACAACAACACATAAGTTATACGGAAGAGCTCTCATCTCCAAGTATTAGACAGTAGCCTGTTTCCAGAGACAGCAATCTACCCTGGTTGTCCTTCAGAAATAAACTAACAGCCAACAAGGATTGTTCATAAACTAGGTGGGAAAGTCAAGATGGTTAAATTGTCATTCAAAATGGCGATGAGGCAGATTTTTTTTTAACCGCATTCCCATTCTGTCACCTCTGTCACTGTGCTGAATAGCAGAGCATTGTTTACAAGGGATTTGGAGAGAGACACAGGAATCTTTAGTGGAGGGTCCCCAGCTATGCTGGCTGGAGAATTCTGGGAGTTGACGTCCACAAGTCTTAAAGTTGCCAAGTTTGGAGACCTCTGCTTTAGTGGGTAGAAAACCGTTTTTTCAAGCAACGAGACAGATGTCCAATTCATTGTAGAAATTCCACAGATAATGGAATGGAAAAGACTCTCGCCTCTAAACACCAGGAGCAACTCATCAAGCATTTTATAAAAATGGATGCTCAGTTTCTTTCATACTGTAAGCCAGTGGGTCATCTGCATGTATGTCAAGATGGCAGGAACAGATGTGGGTGTGACGTATATACAACTCATATTAAAAAGACAGAGGGTTTAAATCATACCTAGCATTGTGAGTTCTTTTACCACACCGTATGTAGACATTTCTGCTGTAAGCAGACAACTAGTAGCCACATTTTCATTAAGAGTAGAATAGTCTATCATGGAAGCAAGAGTTTTAGTAATTTCTGACAATACTGATCCATGCAGAATATTAAGCTCCTTCTACGAAATTCTATTTTTATAGAAAATAATTTGGCAATTCCAAACGCACAGAATTTAGCTACTGGTGTTCGTCCTCTTAAGCAAATAATGTCTGCAACTGAAACACTTGGAACCTACATATCCTACACCATTGATGTGTCTAGTTTTTTTATGGCTTCTTTTATTAGGAAAACATCATTATCAAGCCAGAATAGTAAGAATGGCATATTAAAAAAAAACCCTGTCCAAACTTGTTATTGCCTAAAATCTTTCAAGACAGAAGCACCTGACAATATTAAAAGAGCTTATGACTAACTCTGAGCATCAGGTACACTGTTCCAGGTTCTACAATTCTGCCCCACTGGGAGGTCTTGTAGGGTGATCAGCCTGAAAGATTGCACATAGGTCAGTTCTGGAGACCTTGCTTTTTAAAAGACTAAGAGAGGAAAGCTTTCTTTCTCTCACCCCTCCTTCTCTGAGTTAGAGTTCCAATTTTCACTTTCAAGTCTGGGCAACATTCCAGCCCAGCAACTAGACATCTCTCTAGATGGATGCTTCTCTGAGAGGCTGAACTTTTTCTACAACCTCTTATGAGAGAATGGTATTTTTCTAGTCAGAACTGACAAGGATTTTACTTTCCTTTTTCTTGTGAAAGTGGAGATAAAATACAGAAACTATCAGCCATCTATCAAATTTCAGTCGGATGAGAGGAATTATCATATATCCATGCTGGAAATAATGTATAATTCATTAAAAAAAAAACCAGAAAGAAAAACCTGCAAGAAAAAACCTCCTGAAGTTGTCTAGTTGACACATTTAAACAATTCCTAAGAAAGAGCATTATTACATAATTTAACTAATTATGGCATCAATTAAAAAAAGGGAAGGGGAAATATACTCACAATTAAAATGGCTACAAAACAGGCTAAAGTTGTGTTCCAGTCTCCACTGGCTGTTGCTGAAGCTTTGCCAACTAGAACACTGTAGAATATGAAATCTCCTAAGCCAAGCTTAACTCCTCCTGCCAAAGGGGGGGTAAAAAAAAAAACCTCTGCCAGTTAGAAATTAAAACCATTGTATACAGCAACTTATCTTTAGTCACAGTGCATTTACTAAGACCAAGACGAAATGGAACATTTAAAAGTGTGATACTATTTTTGTTGTTGCTGTCAGCTCAATTAGAGATGTTCTCTGCATGTTTTTATCTGAACAAAACTCAAGAAATATGTTTAGCTACCAAATTTCAAATGGATTAATGAAGAAAAATAAACTGGAAAGTAAACTAAGATATAAACAAACCTTTTGGCTATGAAACCCCTTTGCTGTTTCCATAGCCACAAAAAGAAAAAATAAAACTTTTAGTTGAGCATATAGTTTTGTCTTGTCTGGAAAATAAAATTAAACAGAATTCAAGCTATGACTAAGTTTCAGTATGAAGTTAAGAGGCTCCAGTCTAGTTAAACAGAAGGTTGCTGATTTATTTGCTCAATTTGTGAAGGAAGAAGCAATGCACGCTGTTGGCAAAAAGCTTATTTTCATATTTTGCCTTAAGAAGCTGAGATTCAATTGTCGAGGACAACGGACTATGGTAGGAATATGGTGCTAACTAGTTGTGTGCCAGTACGTGTTTAAGAACTGGCTCTGCCAGCTCCAGTGCCACCCCCATATCACTAATCACAAAACAACTGGTTTGCCCATCAGGCATCATCACAGCTCAGCTTTGCTTCAAGCAGCATCCAGAATTCGTGAAAATTTAACAATTGTTTCTCACTACCCACTATGAGCTGGCTCCAGCATCCTGTTGATGATTATTGAACTCAAATGGAGAAACAGTCCAGGCACTGCAACCTATCTCCTCCCCGCTGTTGCTCAGAAGCAGAGAATGCAACTATATTGGACAAATCCTGCTATTATTGCTTTTCTTCTTTATTACACAAAACACCTAATATGCTTCTAAATACTGCCTACAAGATTCCTCTTAATCTTTTTGCCCTTTAGAATGCTGTTATCAAGGAAATTTGTGTTAAAGCCAATGAAATGGCATGCAAAGCCATTTCAGACTGTTTTTTATTTATAACAACTTTATAGTGAAAAAAACAACTTGTTTTTCTACATAGAGAGAAAAAAAATTGGTAAATTGCACTTGGTGCTCAAAATGATAGCTTGTCATGTGTAACAGCATGTACCTGCCTCAATGTCTCTGATCAAATTCTTGTTATGTTTTAAGATATATGTGTCTACTGAGTGCATTTTTATAATTAAACCCATGTTTACAGGTTACTAACTGATCTATTGCCTTTATGTGCTAATGAACAACTTGGCAGCACTTAGAAGTAAACACTTGATTAACATAAAACAGAAGGGATCTTGATTTTCATCCTAAATTCTTAAGCGCTATCATAATGTTTGGAATTCTATAGTACATCCTTGATTGATTATGAAAATTTACTGGTGCATAATAATCACCTCCAAGGTAGAAAGAAAAAGGGTACATGATTGTGGAAATGAAAAGCCATCAGCCTAAGTGTGTGATGACCACAATAATGCCAAAGCAAGTGTGAAAGCAAGAGGTACACTGGTGTCCTTCGAATTATGCAATCAGAACCAGAAAGACTGTCCAGAGCAAAAGTACTATAGGCATTGCCTCTGACAGAACTAAACTATGCAAGAAAGATTGCAGAAAAGGAGTATTGCAATTCTAAAGATTAAATCTTGAGTAAACAAGGCAACATGTGCCAAGACCTGTATCTTTCCATGGGGAAAAAAAATCAGCTTCTCAACTCATTTTGAAAAGTGAAGCCATGCATGACAACAAAAAACTATCAGATCTATTGCAGTTCTAGTATACTTGTCTGATATTTACTAGAACTGAACTAAGCCACCTCTTCTCAGAATGATACTCATTGAATATATTCCATACTGAGAAGTTCTTAGTGCCCTTAAGACAACTGGTACAGAACAGGTTTCCTGTGAGCAATCTTCTTGAGCTCTCATCAGAGTGCTGAAATTAAGTTTTAGATTTCTAATAAGGAAAAAAAAAACCCACAAATTATACATAGCAATGCTACAATTGTTTTAGAATCTCAGTCTGGAGCAAGGGTCTTCAAACTTGGCAAGTTTAAGACTTGTGGACTTCGACTCCCAGAATTCCTGAGCTAACATGACTAGAGAAGGAATTCTGGGAGTTGAAGTCCGCAAGTCTTAAAGCTGTCAAGTTTGAAGACTCCTGTTCTAGAGCCTAGATTTCACAGAAACACATTTTCTTGGGAGCATGTAATAATGTAGTTAATGCCAGAATGAATACTGGAGCAAAGGTCTCTGATGGCAACTGCTTGGAAGAGAAGATCATTGTCAGCCAAAATAGGATATCTGCCTTCTACATTGATAACATCTGTTCTGTGTAAAGCTTATTTGCTCTAGTCTAGACCTTCCTGTCTTCCGAAGAGGAAACTCTCATTTTAAGACTGACAACAGATTTAATCTGGTCAAGGATTAAGGGAACAAGAGATACATTCAGTATTGAATCTCCCTTGATCTGCTACCATTGCCAAATGGACTGGTTTATGTCTTTTGTCCCTCACTCCAAAGGTCTAATCAATGAGGACATGATTGCAGCATGGCAAATTCCATCCACCTGCTACTCCTCACTGCTGTGCAGCATATCTTATTAGCCTGTCTGCCACTTAACTTCCCTAACGCCTTTCTTTCGTTTGTTCCATTCCCTGCCACCACCTAAATCTGCATATATTCTGAAAAAGGGAATGTTCAATCTTGGATTTTCATTACGGTTTGGGCATAGAGTAGCTTGCACATCCTTTGTACAAAGAATATCCATCTGAAAAGGGAAATTGAAGGTTGCATGGAACACATTTCCCGGCAACTTTGTCAAGGTCATAAGCATCTTTGCCAGAACAAAGATATGAACAAATGAACCAAAAATAGATATAATTATGATGCAGAAAATATGAACTATCAATCTGTTCTTTTTGAAAAGACCAGAGCAATGAATTTCATAAAATTAAAACTTAGCATAAGCTTTATGAAGACTGAAAAAATATCTAAATATCTTCATCAGTGATTAAAAGGAACCCAGGTAAAGCAACAGCAGTCCTCTTGGGAACACGATGGCAGAGATCTGTTTAGGCTTGCCAAAATGCAGTTTATGTTACTTCTATTAAAATACCTCATTATTAAGAGGAATTCTGGCCAGAAAGTCGCAAGGGATCATTAAAATTAACACATTTACTGTCAGTCTGAAAATAATTACACATATCATTCCGCATTCACAACAGTTTTTGATTAATAAATAGACCCATACTTTATATTAGATTGTTACAAACAGCATTATGGAGGTCAGTTTTCATATCAATGGGGTGAGGGACAACATTTATTCCAAGATTTGATACGGTTTCCAGGAGAAACTATTACAGATGGATTACTCACACGTGGGACTAAAGAGTACTTTCTTTTCGTGGTTATATGAGTAAATGAAGCATTTTAACTTTATTCTCATTCCTTGAACAGAACATTTAAATAGTTTGGTTTGGACTTCTTGGTTTCTTTACACCAGAAAAATAGAAGGGCCAAGACCACTAAATTTATTTCCCCGAAATCTTGAGGCATCCACACAAACCTGCTCAAACACGTTCCCAAGAAATTTACTCATGTAACGTTGGCTGAATTTCATAAAGCAAACTCTCAAGAAATGCTTGCCATCCTATCATTCATGAAGAGAAGTTTTCAATTCATTTTAAGAGTGGCTTAAATAAGGAGTTTGGGGAACATAACATAGCAAGAGTGCTACAGCAAAAGTTAAAAATAACACGGGCTGCTGCTTCTATAATGATCAGAAAATTGCATTTTAAAGATGAGATAGGTAACCTGTGGCCCAATTTTCCCTTCTAAAACCCTTGAGTCTCTCTCTCTGACTGTAATTACTTGAGAATACAGCTTACTCCTATTCTGAGATGGGCAACATGAAAATTATAGCTGAAGTTCAAAGACAGGCCTTTTCAAAGAAAAGCCAATCTCTTCAAAACTACCTAAAAATATCCCACCTCTGCCTACGCGGCCTTGTGCCCTTTGTAGCCCAAAAGTATTAAGTAATGTATTTTAGCAACTAAAAGGTTGTCATCCCCAGTTCTAAATCAGCAGTAAGTTTCTGTGTTGCCTGGAAAAACTGGTTTATATTTATTTATACATGTTACTTACTCTCTTCTGGATCCTCGCTTGCTAGGGAATTAGTGGGAAGAGCCTGAACTGCTGCTCGTGTTTCATGGGTTGACTGAATTGGCCCAATCCTGCGGTCTCGTTGCTGCTCCCATTCTGGGTTGAAACCTCCATCATCTGCCTCAGGACCTGCATTCTGGTTTTGATTCACTGTAACTGAAATACACAGGACATTTCTACTACATTGTTGTGATCATCATTCAAATACATCATTAGATTACATGAAAGCTGATAGGTGGGAAAAAAGGTTGCCACTCAGCTAATAAAAACCAAATACTACACAAATGAAACATAAGTTAGGGTGCACCCAAATCCTAATGTTGTCAGGTTCTGCTATTCCACCTAAAATAAAGAACAGCACACTTTGTTTTTTTCCAGTGCTTTATCTCTTCTGCGGAAACACGGCACGAACTGACCAGCAACAAAGCACGAATCAAGTCAGATCTACTTGCTGAACATTGCCTGCCACCAATAAAACTCCGGTACAGCTTCAGCTCCACCGCACCTGGTAATTTGATCCATATAAGAGAAACGCTGTGCTCCCCCCCACCTAATACACCCCCTCAAAACTCCGCCACCGCCACACCCAGTGAATTGTTGCCCAAGAAGGGAAATACCGGCTAAGCAGATTCAAACACAGCACCTTTCCGATGCCCGCACATGCGCCGTCTTCGTTCTTCCACCCATCAGCGCCGATTAGCTGTTTGGTGCTATTCCACCGCCACGGCTCTCCCAATAAAGAAATTAGCGATCATGCACCCCCATCCCCCGGAATGGCAACCCTGTGCTAGGAGAGCTGACAGGGCTCACAAATGTTTGCACATACACGTAATCCTTGACTTATGATCACAATTGAACCCAAAATTTCTGCTGCTAGGTGAGACATTTGTTAAGTGAATTTTGCCCCATTTTACGGTCTTTCTTGCCACAATTGTTACGTGAACCACTTCAGTAAGTTAATTTAGTAACATGGTTTTTAAGTGAATCTGACCATTGACTTTGCTTGTCAGAAGCTTGCAGAAGGTAGGACCCGGGACACTGCAACCGTCATAAATATGAGTCAGTTGTCAAGCGTCTACATTTTGATCATGTGATCATGGAGATGTGGCAACAGTCGTAAGTGTGAAAAATGGTAATAAGTCACGTTTTTCAGTGCCGTTGTAAATTTGAATGGTCACTGAACAAACTGTTTTAAATCAATGACTACCTGTACTTTATTTTTTTATAGGTATAGTGATCTTCAATGCAAATAGATTTGAAAAGAAAATAGTTGCAAATCAGTTTTAACAAATGAAGTAAAACTGGACAGTGACATACATTATAAGCATCTAGCACCATGCCAAAGGCATTGTTGCCTCGGTTGGAAAAGCAAATACTATTTACCACACACCTCTGCAAGTTAAGCTATACAGCAGCAAATTGCCCATCGTGCTCCAGTTGTATTGGATTATAATTTCCACTAGCTCCAACCAACTTGTATGCTAAGAATCTAATGACGGTCCATTTACTGAAAATGCTACTAGTACATTGTTTTCTTGCTGGCAGTGAAAATATCCCAATAAATTAAATAGTTATCAAACCGCTAGCCTTTTAAGAGTGGATGCCTGAGGATAGCCTACTCATTCTGCCTGGTATTTGATCGTATTCTGATACTGAAAAGCAATCTGATAGAATTCAAGTGAGCTAAGGAAACAATCGTAACTAGAACTTTAGGTGAATGGACCAGTACAATAGACTGATGGTATGTACATAGGATCTCTGCTTTGGAGGCAAATATAGAATGTTATTATTCCCACTAGTCCCTATTATTATTTCTAGCTTGGTTCATATGGCTTTCTAAATTACAAATAGTTCTAAATACTGAGAAACTTGCAAGAGCAATAAAAGAGCTCTCAGGACTAAACGTGTATACCTAAGGAACTAATTATTTTGCTTAAAAAAATAAGATGCTCTTCAAATTTGTACTTCCATTTTATGCACAATTCTATGGAAATAAAAGTACCCTTTAATATAATAGAACAGTACTTTCCAGTGTACATACACCAATGAGAAAATCTAGAAAAATCTACCATTTTCAATTTAACATAGAATAAATTGAGGAACATACCTGAAAGCCAATTTGGTATATTGGTTTAAGACACCAGCCCAGAAAGCAGGAAACTATGAGTTAAAGACCTGATTTAGGTACAAAACGAAGTGGTCAAATTTGGGCCAGTAATCTTTCAGTCCCAAGAATCAGGCAATGGCAAACCATTTCTGAAAATCTTGCCAGGAAAAATGCATGGATTTGGCTTGGCACTCACTGTGAGTCAAGGAAAAAGAACCTACATGTATTCACATGAGGGATTTCTTTCAGTCTTACTAAAATCTGCCCTCTGTTTCTCTTGAAATCTACAATCTCTGACTTTTTAATTAATTTATTAAATAAATATATGTGGGTGCACAACTGACACACAATTTCATTTTACTAGCTCAGAAATGGGGCACTTAGGGCCTTCCAAATGTTGGACATTTTCCATGATCTCTGATCAATGCCCATGTTGGTTGACAATGATGGAACTGAAGTCCAGTATCTGAGGTCTATCAGTTTTTTATCACTATAAAATCCAATCATTCTGGTTATCAGAAAGCTGAAAATATCACAAACTGTTAGTTCTATTCCCACAAATTCATTTGTTTTCAAGTAAGATCTATATGTAAGGAAAGAAAGACAAAAATATGGTAGCTGTTAGTTGGCAACAATCTAAATAGGTAAATCTTTTTTTCAGCCAGGAAACAGAAGGAAAAATGTACAGGTTAATTTGTTCAGCAATTGTTCAAAGTTATGATGACATTGAATGAGGAGACCAACAGCTAGTAATTGAGTCCATTGTAGTATTTTCAGTCACGTAATTGTGATTTAGGCACTTGGCAAAAGGTTTGCAATTATAAATGTGGCAGCATCCCATAGTCATGTCATTCCTATTTGAGACCTTCATGGCTTGATTCCAACAAGCAAAGTCAATGGGAAAGCTGCCAGGAGGTCATAAATGGCAACCATAGGTTGTGCTTCACAACTATGTAGAATTCACCACTATATCACTATAACTGGAACTGCCAGAGCTGTTGTCATAAATTGGTGTGGTCACATGACATCGTGCTCTATGACTTAGTAATGGAGTTTCCAGTCCCAATTTACCGTCATTAACCCAGGACTATCTGTAAAGTGTTTTGCATCTTCTTCCTGGCCAGATATTATCTGAGAACAAATCCATATTTTTCTTTCGTGCTTGCTACCTCGTTAGGAGTGTGTTTATTGTACTCAGTTAAATATATTTCATAATGTTTAGTAGCGAAGTAGATTTTTCTCCCCATTCTTCAAGATTTGTAAAAAACGACTTTTCTAAATGTTACTTATTTTTTATGATTTATTTATTATTCGATTCTCACCAGACTCAAGGTTGACTTCCATCCTTCTGAGGTTGGTAAAATGAGGACCCAGATTGTTGGGGGCAATACGCTGACTCTATAAACCCCTTAGAGAGGGCTGCAAAGCACTGTGAAGCGGTATATAAGTATAGGTGCTATTGCTGTTAAATGCCTCTGTAGATTTTTTAAAAAGGAATTGAGGCATAAAAGTAGAAGCTGTGTTGTTAAAACAGCATCTTTATTAGAAAATAAACACCCAAGCCTATACTTGCAGAATTCACTCCGCTCACTTTTTACAAGGATTCCTGGAGGTGAGTGGAAGTAAAACTATCTCAGGATAAATGATAAGGAAACATTTTTCTGGCAGAGGGATTCAAAGTAGTGTGCACTGTTTATTCTTCATTGATGGACACAAGTTCAGTATTTAAATAGTAAATACCTTCTGCAAATTTAAGAAACATGAAACTGCTTGACAATTCTTATTCTGCATTTCTCACACGACTTCACAAAGATTAAAAAAAAAAATCTCACCTTGCTGATTGCAAGTGGCATTTTTAGAAGCTCCCTTCTGGACTTCGGGATCTTGTTCAGCCATATTTACTAGCCATATCATTGTTGCTAATGGAAAAAAGAAGACCTCTGATTTATTGCTGCTATATGCTATTTCACCACATTATCACATATATATATATATATATATATATACACACATACACACACATATACACACACACACATTTTAAGTATTTTAGCAATGTTCTGTTGTGTTATACACACAGAAAACTGCAGTGACCCTTGCAATGAATTCCTCTAAGATGTTGTTAAAATGGAAGACAATAGCAAACCTTCTTTTTTATATTTGTGCTTTGTGCTCATTGTTATTAAATCGAAAGACAATCTTAATACAATGGTACCTTGGTACTCGGCTGCTTTGAAACTCATCAAAGTTGGTACTCAACATATTTTGACATGAAAATTTTGTCCCAGCATTTGTCATTTGTTTGGTACTCAATTCACAAACTAGAATTCAGTGCTGGCTGTCTTGTGACTCATTACATTATTCCTAATGGGAAAAATTTGTTTGATACTCATTGTTTTAGGTACTCATGATGCCTCCTGGATTCAATTAATGATGGGTACTGAGATACCACTGTAACAAATGAATATATACTGCCTGAAAAATAAGTATTGCATTATACCTTTGTAAAACAGTTATTTATGGTAATTTTTAATTACCATAAATGCATAATTAAATGACAGCAGACCCAACAGATATTATACCTTAGAAAAATATATTTTTCAAAATGTGCACCCAGCTAAAAAGGTACTCTTCTTTAATCTTGGTAGTTCTGTCATGGCCTCATTTCACTGAAGGATCAGTTGATACTCTGTACCATAAAACCAATCAAAATCCCTGAAATAGTCAAACCATTTGGGATCATGTAGGATGATTTTTCCCCTTTTTAAATAGCAAACCTTTAAAAGTACAGTGTATTGCTTAATTTCTGCTTCACTGCAAAGTCACCACAATGGGAAAATGTGTCATTAGTTTGTTATACGTAAACACTACATTTTTGCTGCATTTCATTTTTGCTTCTGTAGTCAAAGGAAAAAACTACTAATTGGATCATCTTCTCCAGCCCATGTTTTGAACTTTTGAGCACACAACAAAAGACCTGTTTTCCTATGAAAGGGAACTGTGACACACAGGATCTAACATTTCATATCTTAATAGAAAATTAGATAAATTGTTTTCCCTCAGTTCAAAACAGGCATCAGATAATCCGTTCTTACATGAGTAAATGAGTGCTGGGAACAAAGTTTCATTTCTTTCTTGAGCTGTTTCTACTAGCATACGGAGAGGCCCTCTGGGAGACAATACTGCAATCAGATCTGAAAGAGATATTGAGATTATTTTTTTAAAACTGGAAAAATGGGTCCTCCATGGTTAGAAAGAAACAGTAATATGAATGTAATAAATTAGAACTGCTTAGTGGGACTTTCATACAATATTTTGTATAATGATAAAAGACTAACAGAAAAATATTGTTTGGTTCAATCTATTTAATGGCCCAACCTGTGATATGCCCCACATTTTTAGAATAGTTAATAATTAAAAAATCATAAAGATACATGCTACAATAAATCTTTTGATTAAAAGTCATTATTACTCTTAATCCTGAATTCATTGCTACTGTGCTACGAGGATAAAAACTGAAACCAAACCAATGGGGAAAAAAAAAACAAAAATAAAAAACGAAACAAGACATTTTAAAAATTGGAAGGATAAGACTTAGCACAGTGACATTCAGAGAAGAAAATAAAGGATATAGAAGAAAACAGCCTGTCTGAATTCCGTATTTACTTTTATAATTAAAGCGTGATATCTAATTGATATCTTTCTTGTGGCAAAAATTTGTTCAGTCTACCAGAGGCTTCTATCAGTTAGATAGAGGGGGAAGCAGTTTCTGATTCCCCCTATATGCTTTCTGGACTAAAATTCATACAGCCATGTAATTTTAATTTTGGGATGCATTAGGTATGACTTTATGAAGCAGACCACCTCTGAATGAAATCATCCTCAATCTCTATATCTCATTTATGTATATATAAACATACCAACAATTTACATGTAACTTTTCCTATACAACAGCTTTTTAAAAAAAAATTAAGTATGTGCAGCGATTGGTCCCACTCCAGATTTTAAGCCAAATTGTAGCAATCACATTTGTATATAGTCCTATTATAAAAAGGACAAGCTTTCCTTGCTTGAAAAAATAGCAGAATTACTTGTTTGTTAAAGCAATTTTCCAATTCCATTGTTGTCCACCAAACTTTATGGAGACAAGGTGCTCAGATATCCTTGGCATCTTATCACAAGGCTCTATAAGGAAGTTAGTTAAGTCATGGCAATTCTCCATTTTATTGGGGCCTCTGGGGTTAAATCTATTCCTGCCCTGCCTCACCCAATGCTGCAACAGTTTTCTTCAGACTTGAAAACTCAACTGAACACTTGGGCAGGCCTTAGATTTAGCTCAAATATTAGTGATTAAAACAGCATCTTTATTTTATTTAAAAGAAACAATACCCAGCTACAGAGTCACATCATGTTATGAGGCATAGACACCTATTAGGTGCTTAATTTCATTTTCATATTCAGGAAAAAAATCAATAGTTTGAAATTCCTGTGTTTCTCCAGTTTGGAAAAACCCTTCTCTTACCAAATACATTTTTTTCCTTTAAGGTTTACATAGATTCAGTTGATAATTGTTGTAACCATAGAAGTTAACAGTCAGTAAAGTTACTAAACTTACAATATAAATGAACTATACTTAATTATAAGATAGTACAGTATTTTAAATCACTGTAATTTGATGGCACGTTTCTGAACAGAAGAAGAAGAATGTTTTTGCAAGTTAATTTGGATTCCTTACAACTTGGGGAAAAGTATATGGTATTTCAAACTTGTTTGTCTGCATAACTTAAAATGCTGCCAAACTGCTTGTTCCCACTTGATAATCAAACTGTTGTGTTTGTTTGTTTGTGTGTATGAAAGAAAAAGAATACTTCAAAAAGAGCTGTTTTACACTGTGAAAAGTCTTTGGTACTTACAAAATTTAAAACATAAAAGTGTGTAAGCAATATTTTTCTTTTTTTAAAAAAAACACTATGATGCTGGTAAACTGGAAAACAAATGAACATACACATTAAAAAGATTTTTGTTTAATCTAACAAATTGGGTTGCAACCTTTAATTCTAAATGCACACCTCATTATATTTTGTTTATTTGAGTATTTTGATGCTCTAAATATGTTTCCTTTTACATTTCAATATTGCAGCAGTTACCTCGATCTCTATCATTTTCAAAGTTGAGGACTTTTTTTCCCCCAGAATAAGAGCAACTTAACAGCCAGCTAATTTCCTACACCGTTCAGCCAAATGTATATGGGAACCCCAAAAGCTCCCGAGTAAAAGAATGTGGCCTTTGAAGACGATGTGTAGCTACTATGCTTTATAACTATATGCACTGAATCAATATATCAACTCTCAGCCCAGATCAACATTCATTCATCTCTAACATGGAATCTACAGTTGCTTGAGGGAGAATCACGAGCCCTGGATAGAATGCAAAGACCAATTAACCAAAATCTGTCCCTGGAGAGTTAGCATTTTATCCTGAAAAAAGACTAGAGAATACTCTGGGAGAAAAGGAGCAAGGAGCTGTGTGCCAAGGTGAGAGGCTAAAAGTTGTGGGAGGGAAGGAAAGAGGAATTTTCAGGTAATAACCAAATATAAGAGGGAGACAAGAGATAACGCTCATCTTTTAATATTACTTTTCATACTACATAGAAAAAAGAGTGTTCCCTTTTAAAATAAAAAACGAAACCAGGATTCTGCTGTAGTCAATAATTTTTTTCTAGAAAGAACAACATTAGCACATAATGTGGTAAAAGGGAGCATCTGCTCAAATATAACAAGTCCCATCCCTAATGGTAGTCATTCAGCAGAATATCTTTCCCAGACATGTTTTCTATCTCCACTGAAAACTGGTAAGAAACTTCTATGGCTGAGGGACATTTGGCAGAAAGTACACTTCGACAAAGGATGTTCCTAGATGATACAATAGCATTTGCGACAGATTTCCAAATTTGACAATGCATCGGTCCTTTCTGCATAACTCAACTGACACAGCCTTTGTTAGAAAAAAAAATCCCAGTCCTATTCCTCAACGGATAACTAAAATTGCTTCAGTTTAGCAAGGCCATACAGGCCAGGCTCTGCTCTCATGTTTGGCCATCCCAAAGAGCAATGAAGGAATGCTCACTGATAGTTAGTAAATTTTAGCCAGTGGCAAGAGTTTGTGAAAGTTGAAGTAACAAAACTGAAAGGCAATCCCATCTTCAATGGTTAGGAATTATATGTATTTCCTGAAGTAATTTCTGTTCTGTGTCACCTAGACCAGTGGTCGCCAACCAGTGGGCCGGGGACCACTGGTGGTCCATGAGAAAAATTTGATGGTCCTCAGAGAAATGTCCCCTGCAAAGCAATTAATCCAGGCTGCATGGGAACACAAGCTGGCTGACCACATGTCCTACCCATCTGCTGGTCCCAACCCTTTGGATGCGTGCAAACTTTACCTTGAGTAGAGCCACACAAACTACAACTGAAAGGTAAGATCAATGGCGGGGGAGGGAAATCCACCCCGGGGTGGCTTGCTGACATTGGTGGGAAAGTCGGTCCCATATTCTAGAGCTGCAGTAGTCACAGGACTGGCCCTTTGGTCATCTCGGAGCAGTTCCTCCAGTCCATGGCAGGCCGGTGCACCCAGATGGAGGAGCAGCTGCTTCGGGATGACCAAAGGGCTACTGGACTACTGCAGCTCTGGAATATGGGACTGACTTTCCCACCAATGCCAGCAAGCCACCATCAGTCAAAATTCATATTAGTGGCTCGCGGGATTTAAAATTATGAGTTTGGTGGTCCCTGAGGTCCAAAAGGTTGGCGACCCCGGACCTAGACTCCCTCTCCTACAGACTCCCTCTCCATTTACACGAGATTGAGAGAACCCAAGCACCCATGTTGTGAAAGTTCCCACTGCAAAACTTGAATGTGTGATCCAGATTTATGATATGACTTCCAAATCATTAAAATAACCTGGCATCCCAAACATACAAAGAACACCAGCTAATTTTTTTGAAAGGGTTTTCAAGGGCTTTTACTCAAAACTCAAATGAGGATAGAGGAATCTTACCATATACCGAGATGACTGCCAAGATGAGCCAAGCAGTCCATTCCGGAAGATACTTTATAAACACCAAGGCCATTAGAGCACTTATCATAATGAGGTAGGCTTGTTGAAGACGGAGCGGGCCTTTCCAGTGAACGCAGATCATTCCAACCACCCCAAAGTTCCAAATCATGAGTGCCACAGTAATGTAATCCATGGCAACGTTATAGGTCTTAAAAACCTCCCTAAGACACAAAGACAAAATATTAAGAGGCATTTGTGATTTTGACAATGGTATATAGTGAAAAATTATGATAGTCAAATAAAGCACCTTGCTCCTTTCCTTGCCATCTTTGTTAAGTTTTAAGTCAATTTTAGCGTTAATTTTTTTTGTTTTAATTTTTTGATGTTCATTTTGTTGCTTTTATTGGTTGTAAGCTGCCTAGGGCTGACTCTAGTTGAGATGGGAGGAATGGAAGTTTAATAAATAAAAAATAATGAACAACTATTTCAATGCCAAATCAATAGTGTTATCCAGAAATACAAATGATTCAACAGAAAATAAAACAACTGCACAGCATTGTAGAAAAAGGAATCAATATGGAACATAGTTATGTAAACATAAACGTTATTATGGTAGCCAAAATTAGATTAACATTTTTAATGTACAATCTAACAGTTGCTGAAGTTACGGTTTTTTCAATTTATTAGACAGCAATTTTAAAGCAATCTTTTGTGCACAGAGTATAAAGTTTATCACAAAATGGCAAGTTTACAGAAGACTTAAGCTTCTTCACCAATGCTGATAGTACCAGCAGAGCAATTGTTGTGGTAACCTGTATTAGTTCTCTTGGCCAGTCAAGAAGCTACAAATATAGACTTCTAAGAACTCCAAAGAGCTAATAAAGAGATGTACTGCAGTAAAGTTAATGAAGCCCTTACAAAAGACTTTTGGCCAAATCCTGTATGTAAAATGCATGCCTTTATTTAGAGTGAAATCAAGATTCAAACTCTTGCTTTTCTGGTTCCTGTCTATAAAGGGTTAAAGCCACCCCCTTCGGGGAAGGAGGAAAGTTCTGCACATTTATCATTTTGGCAACAACTAATCTGGTTGTTTGCTTGTACTGTGCTTTCACTTGCTCATTTGCACTGAAAAGTGGGGAGAAAATTCTGTTGCTATGCACTATATTTGAGGAATGGGCCATGAACTAACTATGCAGAACTTAGCATGCTATACAAGTATCCCATGTGAATAGGATCTCTCTCTCTCTCTCCCTCTCTTTCTCTCTCTCATCATAAACCTTGATCTTTCTATGCTAAAGCATCTGTACTAATATTAGAGTACAGAAACCAAAACCAGCCATGCAAGAGCCATCATTACAGCATTATTTTGCTTTCATTGTACAAATGAAACCTCATTTTAATACACCTTGATATAATGGACTTCATAAACTTAGTTCTGCTCATGTTATTATTTGAGTGGACAAATGACAAAATTATTTTGTTTGCATCAACCTGTATTATTTGCATAATGATTTGTATATAAACACAAATGATTCCAATTATTACATTTAAATGACTTTCACAAATAATAGACATCTCTGTCCCCAAAGAAATTGAAATTTCATTGTAGTGGTAGAAGTATGTACGCATGTATGTGTGTGGATATGTATATGTTTTAACAGAATGGAAGATCTATACAGGGCTTTGTTTCTTGAAATGCAAAGAGTCACATAGTTTTTAAAATGATACAAAACTCGAAATCATAAACATTTATTATTGTTAAATGTAATCCTTAATATAGTAGCCAGGATTTAAGGATACTTAATATTCAGAAACCTGAACCTGTTCCCCCTATTTTGACACATCTAAATAGCAAAATGGTTCTATACTTACCCTAAGTAAATAAATGAGAAAAAGAAAAGCAAAAAGAGGGAAGAAACAATGAGCCAACCATGGATCACCTGAAACACAAACAAAAGATGGTTTTAATGTTCAGACTTGATGTTAGATTGACTCTTTCAAAAATGGTTATTTGAAACTTTAGAACATCTTCATATAGTTTCACTTCTTATGAAATCCTGAGGGTTGTATGCAGAGCCCTTACAAACTGGAATAAAGTAAGTTCTAGAATAGCATTATAAATAAATGGAAATGGGAGTTTAAATGAAAATATTATAAATTATTTTGAGCTCACCTTATAGCACCTATATTTATAAAGCACAACCAGGAGTACAGTCATGACAACAATGACACTAATCATGATGGCAGCATTGAGAACAGAATTCAGAGCTCTTTGTCCAACAGTTTCTGTGTCTTCTGTAAATGGAGTATAGATTCTACAATGCAATGCAGAGCAAAATAAAACATGTCACATGCTTTTAAGTCAGGATACATTTTCTGATTAAATTCATCTGAGAGAATGTGGCACACTTTATAAAGTTTCTTGCATGCACCATCTAGTGGCTATGAAATGAATTACAAGCACTTCACTGCTTCATTTTAAGCGGCCAACAAAGTCAAAAACACAGCAGAATGTGAATCTGCTGAATATGTACAACAATTTAATTCTTAAAGGGAGAAGGATGTAAATTGGCTTTACATGAAAATATAACCAGTGAAATCAAATAAATATACTTCCATTGATGGGAGGCTTCTGCCAGCAAAATGGGGGAAAGGGGCATTAACAAAACTCCACCTGTTAGGAAGGATTAAGAGAGCCCTCTGGAATAGATATGAAAAGTGCAAGAGAAAGATGACCTTCTATGTCTATTGATGTAAGTTTCCCACCGGTAGAGGAAATTTAGAAGGATCCACCCAAATCCTATTTATCAGTGAAAATATACAATGCTATTCCATAATTACATGTATTTGTTCAAAGAAACATAAAATATACAATGCTATTCCATAATTACATGTATTTGTTCAAAGAAACATAAAATAAGCAGAAGAGTTACTTAAAATTGGAGAAATGAGGAAGGAAGGAAGGAAGGAAGGAAGGAAGGAAGGAAGGAAGGAAGGAAGGAA